TGCAAATATTTTTTTCTATTGGAGTCGAAATATTACATTTCACAATTTAGTTTGAATTTAAAAATGAAAGAAAATTGTCAAATCGAAATGCAAATGCTGCAGACTATTAAAAACAAACAAATAAATTGTAAAAGGTTAAATGAAACGCATTTGAAATGTTTCAGCCAGGAATATGTTCTCGAATTCCATGATCTTATTTACTACAAAAACATTCTCCTTCAAAAAATTGTTCATTATTCGTACCATCAGTTTCTACAACGTTTACATTTACAGTAATGAACGAACAAATAAAACTTCCAAACGATCATCAAAGTTACGACAGGACTTAATTTATTTCGCGATGTTATACACCGGTTATACCAATAATTCCTTTTACTCAGTCATGCCATGCAAAAAATTTTTTATATATTTTTTTTATATGAAATAAACGTAAAATTTGAGCGATTATTTTTGATCACTCGATCGCTTCGGTGAAAAACACAGACCGCCATGATAATTGTGATGTATTAGTTGACCGGCATGTGTCCTTTGACCGATGGATCAAAAGCGCCATTAACCAATCAGAATACCGCATGGTAATGTCAACAGAACCCGAAGTTTTCCGAATGGTAGTGATCATAAAAAATTACATTGCGGAAGTAAAGCAATGTCCTAGCACGATGTGTTGGTATGGATTTCAGATGAAAACTGCATGATGGTTTTCGAAATAGATGATAAGCAATTTTTAAAAGGTAAAAGAAGTCTTGAAAGAAGGGTTTTTACATGATTCGCGATGATAAAAGTTCAAATGTATTTTACCCAATCACGCAATAAACATGTTTTTTTCTTGAGTAGCGTAAACTGATCGTGAACTCCGCTTTGCCCATGTTATATCGGGGTGGAATTGATTTCGAAAAATGTTAGCTTTCAATCTAAAGACTGCGTCGATCGTCAAAGTATTTACTTACGAACAAAGAGGTGCTAATTTTACTTAACTTGTATTGTTTATATTAAAGCCACTAACACATCGTGCGACTACGTCTATTGTTTACAAATTAC